ATGCAACAAGAAGGGAGTAATAACGAAATACGCGATAATGGTCAATCTGAGCAAGAACAGATAGAAAGTGAACAGCCTGGAGTTGACGACAGTAATGATCAAGACACAGAAATATTTGGTATATTAATAACTGAAATGGGTAGAGCATATGCCGAATTTGATGGAACGAACCCGCTAGAAAGACCACCATTACCAAAGTTGAAGTCATCTAGAAAGCTTGCTGTGGTATTGTGTCAGTTAAATAAACAGATCCTGCCAGAGTATCTAGCACACTCCAACTGTATAGAACAACTTCACACACTGATATACTGTGCAGCTGTTGCAACAGTAAGAACACTTGGTGTCAAAATGCCAACTCAAAAGATTACTGAAAATTCAGTAAAACCAATAACACCAAAATGGGAAAAACGTCTGGAAAGAAGAACGGCAGAAATTCGCAGAGATATCGGACGTCTTACCCAATTCACACGAGGAATAACAACTCGAAAAGTCCGAAAGCAAGCTATGGAAATAATGCAACGACTCCACCATCATTCTCACCAAGACGCAACTAACATCAACGAGTGGCAATGCCTTGATACCTTGAAGCAAAAACTGTCCGTATATACTCAGCGATTGAAAAGGTATAAAGCGTCCAGTCACAGAAAGCACGACAATGCGCTCTTTCAACGATCCGAAAAGGCATTCTACAGGAAACTGTCATCCGAACCCCAGGAAAAGAGCAAAACGGTGCCCACAAAGGACCAAGTAGAGGAATTTTGGGGCAAGCAGTTTGGCTCGACAGCTTATTACAACAAGTGTGCAGGATGGATTACAGATGAAGAAGCGAAGAGCCATTATTGCAATCCCATGCAGTATAGGGCATATACCAAACAAGAAATCGTGGATATCGTTAAGCAGTTGCATAATTGGAAGGCCCCGGGCCCAGACCAGATTCATGGCTACTGGATAAAGAAGCTTTGGTGCATGCATGAACAACTAACAAGATATATCAATGACATGCTTTTGAATCCAAATAAGACTCCAACGTTCCTAACACAAGGGCTAACGGTATTAATACCAAAAGATCACAATAATACAGAAGACCCAGCAAAATACCGCCCAATTACCTGCCTTCCTACGCTATACAAGGTGGTCACTGCTTGTATATCGAAGCGAATTTATGCTCATTGTGAAGAAAACGATATTATTGCGCCACAACAAAAAGGCTGTGCTAAGGGAGCTATGGGATGCAAAGAACAGCTGGCTATCGACTCAGTCATCTGTAACCAAGCCTATACCAACAAAAGGAACCTATACATTACGTACATCGACTATCAGAAGGCATACGATTCTGTACCTCATGAGTGGCTTGTCAGGGTGCTGAGGCTCTATAAGGTAGATGAGCATGTAGTGGCCCTATTAGAACATATGCTGAAGACCTGGAGAACCAGAATAACACTGCATACAAACGGGACCAGCACCATTCAAACTGAGACGATCTCTATCCGAAGAGGTCTCTTTCAGGGTGATTCATTAAGTCCCCTATGGTTTTGCCTAGCTATAAATCCCCTCTCAAACCTCTTAAATGCAACAGGGTATGGATATAGTCTGAAAGATAACAGGAACGCATCCATAAAACTGAACCACTTGCTGTATATGGACGACCTAAAGGTAATAGCTGCTACTGAGAATCAAATGAAACAGCTGCTAGAGATAGTCGGTCAGTTCTCAGATGACATAAGTATGCGATTTGGGATGGATAAATGCAAAACCTTATCTATACGTAGGGGGAACATCTACCCTGGAGGATTTTCAAGCTGCAGAGGCCAAAACATTGACGCAATGGACGCAAATGACACATACAAGTACCTTGGAATGGCGCAGGCCGAAGGATAGACCATAAAAAAATGAAGGAAGCTATATCGCAGACCTTCACAAAAAGAATACGGCTACTTCTGAAAACAGAACTCAATAGTAAGAATCTAGTCAAGGCGATTAACACCTACGCATGCTCTGCCTTGAACTACTCGTTCGGTATAGTTCTGTGGAGTAAAACTGACATCGAGAAACTAGAGAGGCGGGTAAGGACTATGCTAACAAAAAAAGGAGCGCACCATCCTCGCAGTGCAATAGAGCGCACAACCTTACCCCGACAGTTAGGAGGAAGAGGTCTAATGGACATCAGCAAGCAGCTAGCTCAACAGGTACTCGCCTTGCGATCCTACTTCTTTGAGAAGGCCGAGATCTCTGAGCTGCATCGCATCATATGCTCAATAGATGACACAACGCCCTTACACCTTAATAGACGAGATGACCAACCGAGTCACCAAACCAACGAACAGAAGCTACAACGATGGATTGAAAAACCTCTACATGGGAGACATGCCAACGAGATTAGCCAAGAAAACGTTGACAAGAAGCGTCAAACTATTGGCTTACCTCAGGCCAAATGTTCCCTGAGACTGAGGGATTCCTTGTAGCTATACAGGACCAGGTCATTCCTACCAACAATTACAAGAGGTTCATACTTAAGAACTTGCAACAGTCTGATAAATGCAGGTACGGCTGTCAGGACTCCGAAACAATACAGCACGTAACTGGTGGATGCCAAGCATTCGCTCCAACGGACTATAAGGAGCGCCACGACATAGCTGCCAAAATCATTCACCAGGAGTTGGCATACAAATTCAAACTGATCGAATGCAAGCTACAGTACTACAAATATACACCGCAATGTGTCCTCGAGAACGACAAGTATAAACTATACTGGGATCGCACTGTGCTTACGGACCAATACGTAAAACAAAACAGACCTGACATAATCATTGTCGACAAGGACGCCCAGAAAGTAACACTGATTGATGTGGCCATACCTAATAGTAACAATTTAACATACAAACATAATGAGAAAGTTGCAAATACAGGGAGCTAGAATTTCAAATTAAACGCCAGTGGAAAATGAAGTACGTGGAAACAATACCAATAATAATGTCATCTACAGGGGTGATACCAAGAAGGCTGCTAGAAAACATCAAAGCGCTGGAACTGAGTGAAAACATTTACAAAATCATACAGAAAGGAGTTTTGCTGGCAACTGCTCGCATAGTAAGAAAATTTATGGGAAATGCAAGTACCTAGGGAGGTCACTATTGAGGCTTACCCCTTTGATGCTTGAAGCGTCCGGGTTAAGCCAGAACACCCCGATTAACGGGAGTAACAAAGCCCTACGGCTATAAAAATAATAATAATAATAATAATATAATAATAATAATAATAATAATAATAATAATAATAATAATAATAATATAATAATAAGAATAATAATAATAATAATAATAACTATAATAATAATAATAATAATAATAATAATAATAATAATAATAATAATAATAATAATAATAATAATAATATAATAATAATAATAATAATAATAATAATATAATAATAATAATAATAATATAATAATAATAATAATAATAATAATAATAATAATAATAATAATTAATAATAATAATAATAATAATAATAATAATAATAATAATAATAATAATAATAATAATAATAATAATAATAATAATAATAATAATAATAATAATAATAATAAGTGGTAAACAGGGCGCAGGTGTAGTGAGGGCTCCTACCCTTCGGAAGCGTCAGGAAGATGAGCCTGTAGCGGGGCCCAGTGGATTGTGTGGCACTGCCTCGCGAAAGGATTCCACACAGAGGCAAGTCCTGGACAAGAGAAGGGATGATACACCGCAACTTCGTGATAGTCACCACACGGAGGAAACTCAAAGTGGACTACTCGAAGTACTGGAAACAAGTATCTCAGCCGAAAAGACCAGGGGTAAAGAATACCCTGGAGTGAAGAAGAGCTGAGAGAAGTGATGTGGTGTTATCATTACTGTAGGCTTACTGATAGGAATACCTATGTTGCAGTCTATAAGATGTGGAGAAGGCGCAACCCAGACTCCAGACTTAACATCGATGCAAACAAACTGCAAAACCAAAGAAGGTACATCCAACAGAATAAAAGGTTATCAGAAGAAATCATAAATGAACTGATTGAAAGCATTAAAGAAACGATCGATAGAGAAAAGACAGTAGACCATCACGATGTCGCACAGGTACCGGAAGAACATGTTGAAGAATCTGACATGCACAAAGAAATAAAGGACAAATATTTAAGCCTGATTGAAAAAAGCATATCTGAACGTAACTGTCTGCCCAGAATATATACTAGTAAAAGAGCAAAGCGACTCATCGAGGAAGGCAACTGCATAGTTAGCAACATATTGCAAACAATGGGTCAGAAAGACCTAATAAAGATAGATTGCCTCATTTATGCTACAGCATATGTGATTACGTCAAAATTAGTAAAACCGACAGCGCGAAGAAGAATAGCTGGGACCCCAAAGCAAACACCTAACTGGCAGAAGCGGCTAAGTAATAAAGTTTTGAGCCTCAGGAGAGACTTATCGAATTTAGTTCACATACAAAATGGCAGGCTGTCCGCAGAGTCGGCTAAAGGGAAGATGATGTTAAACAAATACGTCACAGAAGGAAAAACGCTAATAGAGAAGATAGAGGTAATGAAACAACAAATCTCGGCCACTGCTCAAAGACTCAGAAGGTACAAGAATCGACAAGAGCAGCACAAACAAAATAGTCTCTTTAATGTCAATCCCAAAGCATTTTATAGGGAGCTGCGAGAAGGAAAAAGGGAACCTATTGAAGCTCCAACCATCTCTACAACTGAAACGTATTGGAAAAGTATTTTCGAGAAAAGTGTTAACCACAACGAGAACGCAAAGTGGCTGAAAAAGGTAGAAAGGGATAGAGCCACAACTATGAGCTGGCAAAATATCAGTGTCGTGGAAGTCAGATCAGCACTGCAGCAGGCCCAAAATTGGAAAGCCCCTGGTATAGACCAGATACCTAATTTCTGGCTGAAACATCTAGTGTCTACACACGAAACAATAACAATGATATATAATAGTTACTTCGATAACGGAACAGATATCCCGAACTGGCTGCCAAAGGGTAAAAACATACCTTCTTCCAAAGTCTGGAGATAGTAAGGACCCCAAAAATTACAGGCCTATCACCTGTCTGAACACCTTGTACAAATTGTTAACTAAAGTAGTAGCCAGCAGAATATCTGATTATGTAAATGATAATAAGATAATACCAACTGAACAAAAAGGCTGTGGCAAGGGCTCTTTTGGTTGCAAGGATCAGCTACTCCTCTCGAAAGCCATTGTAGAAGATTGTAAAGAGAACAAAAAAAATCTTAGCATTGGATGGATTGATTATAGAAAGGCATTCGACAGCGTCCCGCACAGCTGGCTCCTGAAATCTCTGAAGCTTATAGGAACATCTGAGAAGATCATTGATCTATGTAAGCGATTGATTTCGCTATGGAGTACTACCCTGTTAGTCAGTAATAATGGGGAAGAAATAGAGTTAGGACCCATACAGATAAAAAGAGGTATATATCAAGGTGATACCTTGTCACCTCTTCTGTTTGTGATTGCGATGGTTCCTTTAAGTACGCTGCTCAACGAGGGCAACCTAGGTTACCAACTTAAAGGAGCAAATGATTGTCTCTCCCATTTGCTATATATGGATGACCTGAAGCTCATATCTCCCAGCCAAAACAAACTGAAAACGTCTCTCAATATTGTAAAAAAATTTAGCGACGACATACAGATGAGCTTCGGTCTCGATAAGTGCGCTGTAGTCACTTTCAGGAGAGGAATGCATTATGACTCTGCTAATATAATAGTTGATGAAGGACAGACGATCAAATCACTAGAACATGGCGGAGTGTACAAGTACCTGGGAATTAAAGAAGGCCCACACATCACCCACGATTCACTGAAAGTTGATATTAGACATGAGTATATAACGAGAGTACGTAAAATTCTGCAAACTCAACTCACGTCTAGAAACAAGATAACAGCAATTGGAGCTCTTGCCATACCAATCATGCAGTACAGCTTTGGTATAATCAATTGGACATTGGATGACATAAGACAAATGGATCGCAAAACAAGAAAACTAATGACAACACATAACATCCTTCATCCCAAAGCAGACATCGACAGATTATACGTGCCACGAAAGAAAGGGGGACGAGGACTAAAGCAAATAGAAGAAACGTACAACAATACTATCTTCTCAGTAGGGCAGTATATTCAAACCAGATCTGAGCAAGACCGCCTACTACAGATGTTACTAGCACATGACAATAGGAAACCAACAAATAGATCTATTGTAAAGCGTAGTAATAAGATCAAATTAGAAGCTGCGGAAGCCGGACATACGGTCGAGCGAGGTAACAGGTCCATCAAACTGTACTTGAAGCAATGTGTCGAAGAGAAATGGCGGAGTAAGCCTCTACACGGACAGCATATCCGTCAAATGGAGGAGCTTCCCGTTGACTTAAGACTGTCATTTGGATGGTTACAATACGGAGATTTAAAAGGGGAAACCGAAAGCTTGCTGGTGGCAGCACAAGACCAAGCCTTGAAAACGCGTTACATTGAGCAAGCAATACACAAGACGAGGAATGACGGTAAATGCAGATTGTGTCACATTCACAATGAAACTGTTGAACATATAATATCTGCATGTCCAATACTAGCGCCAAAAGAATATACTGACAGGCACAATAATGTCTGCGCAGCCATCCATCTAGAAGTGTCTCGCCACCTTGGTTGTCCAATAAAATCGACGAAATGGTATGAGCATCACCCCGACAGAATAACACGAAGTGAAGATGGTAGTATCACAATAATGTATGACCATCCCGTTATCACGGATAGAGAAATAAAAGCAAACAGACCAGATATTGTTATAAAAACCACCGAAATATGCTATATAATTGATATATCGGTACCTGCAGATAGACATGTCATACAAAAGGAGGCTGAAAAGCAACTAAAATACAAATCATTACTCATAGAAGTGCAAAGAATGTGGCATACAAAGGCAGTTGTTATTCCCGTAGTGATTGGTGCAACTGGATATGTCACTCGCAACATCCTAGATAACCTAAAAAGGATACCAGGAGATCATAATTTCTATCAGTTACAGAAGATCGCCTTATTAGGCACATCGCACATAATTAGGAAAGTTATAACATAACCAGCTCATAAACTACAAAGATCTGTACCCCTCAGGTCCTCGGCGAGGACCCGGTGTAGAGGTCAAACCGTTCCATATAAGATACCGCTACTAATAGAAAACGGTCCTGTAGCGTGAAAAAAAAAGAGAATAATAATAATAATATAATATATAATAATAATAATAATAATAATAATAATAATAATAATAATAATAATAATAATAATAATAATAACAATAATAATAACATAATAATATAATAATAATAACAATAACAATAATAATAATAATAACATAACATAATAATAATAATAATAACAATAACATATAATACTAATTATAATATATATAATAATAATAATAATAATAAATAATAATAATATATAATAATAATAATAATAATATAATAATAATAATACTAATAATCTAATAATAATAATAATAATAATAATAATAATAATAATAATAATACAATAATAATAATAATATATAATAATAATAATAATAATAATAATAATAATAATAAGATAATAATAATAATAATAATAATAATAATAATAATACTAATAATAATAATAATAATAATAATAATAATAATACAACGTCTGGCCTCGACCAAGTGGTTGAGCTACTGTTATTAACACCGACGGAAAGTCAGTACGGCCAGCACACCTCCTGTTCATCCAGGCGTGGTTTTGTCTCTCTTCCACGCCTGAGTTTAAACACTTTTAGGTAAACAATTATACCTACCTATCAAAAGAGAACACAATTACCCAGAAATGGAGAAAAAACAAAATGAAG